AGGTAAGAAAATTTGTACCATAACCTAAATGATTGAATTGATGAATCTTTATTCGAAAAATGTAGCATCTATACATTATTTATTTTTGTTATTGATTTATATGTATATCTCTTTAATATATGAATTTTTGACTTCTTTCTTTCAAATTAATTTACAAGATGGAATATGAAACAATACATCAAAGTGTCAATGTGAATTATGTTGGTGATGATTTTATTATTAATGAAAAACCCAATGAACCAATTTCAGTTAATAATGAAAATACTGATGTTGAGAAAGAAAAGAAGAAAATAAAGTTTTTGCATCCGAAGTTTGGAAATATTTTTCAAAAATTGGTGTGAAAGATGGTAAAGAAAAGACAAAATGTAAAGCACGTGGGCAAGAATATGTGATTGGTGGGTCAAAAATAGGTGCTTCAACCTTACTGCGTCATTTGAAAAAATGCATATTAGCCCAAAATATCATGATATAGGTGCAATGATGATTGACAACATGGGAAAGTTAAGGAATAGGGAACTTGATCACAAACATGTTCGTGAAATATGGGTTAGTGAGCCGACCCACCTAACTCACCAACCCGTGGTGGGTTGAGCTGGGTTGTAAAATTTTTGGTTTGCCAAAAAGTGAGTCGGGTTGAGCTCATCTATTTTCAGCTTAACCCGTGGTAAGCCAACCCGTGTGAGGCGAGTTGACTCACTTTGACATCCCTAATTGGAACATTACAAATATATATCTAGTAATAACATATCAAGTACATATTTAATTTATTACATGCAACAATTAAAAGATAAAGTTGACAAAATTAAGAATATTATTTGATCGATGGTAATCCTTATCATATTTAATTTTAACATAAAATATATTTAGTTGGTTGAAAATTTTATAAATAAAAAATATTTTTATTTTATTATTATAGAATTTTTTAATTCTCTTTAAAATTAGAATATTAAGATTTTGTTGGAACTTAGATTTAAAAGTGACATACTAGAGCTAAAAGAATAAGAAGATAAATTGTCATATCAGAAATTAGAACAGAGAAACTATTTCTACCCTTTTTTGTTTTCATGTTATTTTTAAGTTAATAGAGAAAATTTGGTAATAATTATTATGGTTGTGTGGAAATGGTATCCGGTACTAAAGTGAAGGAAGTAGCCTTGATTACACAAATACATGGAATAGTTAAGTGGGAGTTGGTTTTTAAATAATAACATACCAAAGTTATACATATTTGTATTTTAGGATGTTTTAACAAAAACAGGAATGTGTTTTTAAGCTATTTTGATGTTATATTATGTTTTTTTATGTGTAATTGTGGTATGATCCTATTATAAAATAGGATTTGCACATTCTTTTGAGTATTTTATATCGATTGTTGAATCGATGTAACAAGTGTGAGAATTTTTACATCGGTTAATAACTGATGTAGAAAGTGACATATTACATCGATTCTTTTTTTAACGATGTTATATTTTCACTCTTTAAAAAAATTATATGTATCGCACTTGTAAATATCAATATTTTTACACATAATCATCGATGAAGTGTTATTTGTTTTTTTATATTTTTTGACATAATACAACAAAATAATATTGATAAGAATATACAACATCAACGATATTTTTTTTGTCCTTTCAAATGAAGTTTATCATATAATCAGTAAAAGAAATAAAAGTGATATACTTATTTAGAATGATGACAACAAGAGAGAGATGTGAGGTGAGAATGATATAGAGGAATAGTGATAATGTCGTAGACATTAGAGAATAATTTTATCTTCATTCTTTTTTGTGTTAGGGTGACTGCTAACAACTAGATAATTACGTAATAACTTTGTTTCCTTTCGGTAGTTGAACAATCTTTGGAGAGGAGGAGATGAGGAGATTTAGAGAGGAGGAACTTTGAAAAGAAAAAAAAATTCAAAGATGATGAGTTTTGGAGAAGAAGAGTTTCAAAAAAGAAAAGTTTTGAAGAGATGATCTTCGCAGAGGATGAGATTTGTGCAATGACGATGATAACACAACAAAAAGAATAATATTTCGGGCAACAATGAAAAACTAAGAAAGAAGACGCGAGTGATATATAAAGGATTTTCTACATTGATTGTATTAACAACCGATGTAGAAAGTTCATCAATTATTACAAAAATGTCATCATGTTTATATTTAAATTGATTCTTATATAACTAATATATATATATATATATATATATATATATATATATATATATAACAATGTAAAAAATTGATTTTGCACTAGTGTGAATATTTGTATTGTTAAGTATTGGGGTAAGAAAATATTTAAAATTTTGTAAACCTTTTGGTTCGAGCTTTCCTCACTCAAGTGATGCATTAGTCGAGTAAGAGGCAAATGGTGAAAGATGTGCATTAAATAGTGGTAGTTTACCAAGCGAATAGTTATTGTTGAAGCAAAAAGTTATTTAATGGCGATTCGCTAGAGCGAGAGTTATGACGCTCAAACAAAAAAGTAACTAGATGAAAGAGATTTAGTACAAATTGAGTTTCGCTCAAGTGACAATTGGTTGCTCAAGCAACATGTGAGAGAATTGTTTGACTTATATTTTGGTCAAGCGATAAGTGGTTGTTAAAGTAAGATACAAACAAAGGAAATGATTGATTCTATGTATTTTTTGTTCAAGCGATGAGGTGTCGCTCAAGTAAAAAATAAACATAATAGATAACCTATTTAAAAAGCACTTTGCTCAAGTGACAAAAGGTTGCTCAAGCAAAAAAATTTGATGTGAAATGGTTTATATAATGATCAAATAGTGGTATGTGTTAAGGCTAAGTCGAATAAGAAGTGTTACTCATAATCAATTGAGACATGTGTTATGTGTGTGAGGCAAGTGAGCCTAGAATATGTTGTCCAAAAATGATAGTAGATACTCGAGGAGGTACTATGGTATAGGAGATTCAATGAGATCTTAGGTTTCACTAATAATCTAAATCTTGTAGACTTAAGTGTCAATAGGTGAGGAGTTAATAAGAAAATTGTTAATGATTTACGCTAATAGTATGAGATATATAAGTAAGGACGAGTGAAATTATCGAGTAATTCTAAGTAAAAAAGTCGGATCATAATAATAAGATAATATATAATACAATATGGGTATTAATATGACCAACATATTTTAGTCCCAAAAAATATTTAATTATATATATATATATATATATATATATATATATTATGTTTTAGAGTGATAATATTTAAATGATTTAAATTACCTTGTGTTTTTGTGTTTAAATTTTTATTTTGTTATAGAAAAACAAATGATATTATAGGATGGGATATTATATTTTAACAATAAAAATAGTACTGTAAAATGATAACGTACATATATGTATTAGTATTTTAATTTACAATTTTGTACTAATAAAAATATTTTTTTATAAAATACTTATTAAATACTATTTATATTAATTATATATCGCGATCGGAGATGATGTATTATTATGATAATAATGATTTTTGTATTGATTATGATATCTTAATAATTCAAAATATTTTTTATAGAATAACTACACATTTTTATATATTACAAAGTCATATAAATTTTGAATATTTTATTTTAAAATATTATACTTTTATTATTTAACATATTAGATTTTTCTATTATTTATGATATATATATATATATATAAATTTAATATTTGATTATATTAAAAATTAAATTAAATTGATTTAAAATATATGCTTAGTTTATAAGAGATTAATTATTTATACATTGGAATTGAATGTTATTTTGGTTAATATTAAAATTACATATTAATTGTAGAAAAATAAAATTTGAATAAAGATAATTTTTTTTACAATACAATCCAAAAAAAAATACTCCTTTAATAATATGTTACCATATTAAATATCTTATATATGATACTTACACAAGTTTTTTAAAATATTTAATAAACAATAAAATATTTATCTAAAACAATTATTGGAACTTGATTCGAGTAAATTGATAAATAAGACAATAAATAAAAACATGTGCTTTTTACTCATGGTCACTCAATCTGACTATGTCTAATAATCCTCTAATAAATTGTTAAAAAATTATACTTTAATCAATTAATTAAACTCAAATATTATTCACTGATTTATTATAAATATTATTAAATTTGACAAAAATATCAACTTCTAAAGTGACATATTTTTTAATATATATATCACTAATATTTGAAAGATAGTAAATAGAAACTTAAAAGGAAAATATTAGCAATATATTTTATTATTTTCTAATTATATTATAATATTTTTGTATTATTGTGTTTGGTTATATAAAAAATAAGTTAAAAATGGGTTGAACCAGCGGAAATAGAAATGACAATAAACATTAGTGTTGGTTGCTTCCAAAATTTCACAAGTTTGAATAAACTTATGAAATTTCTAGGAATCTTAGTATAATTTACTCTAAATTATTATTATAAACCTAATAATTAAAATTATTATTAACAATAATAGTTTATAATTTATATAGTTATCATATTATTTGTCTCTTTAAAAGAGTTTGTCACTGAATCATCAAGAAATTCTAAAATCAAATACAGAACAGAACCATACATTTCCCTTTAAAAAGTTATCAATAATTTTTAAAAGAATAAAATTATAATTTACAAAAAAAAAACTTTAGCATATTATATTATATAAACAATACAGGTATACTTTTGCATTAAAAAATAAATTGGAAGTAGTATGCATAGTTTTTGAAAGGTAAACCATAATAAACTTTGGGCTTTTACAAACCAGCCAAGGTCCAATATTCCGATTACCCAGCTAGGGTTTTTTGTGACAGAGAAAGGTTTCAATGGGCTTTCGGACAATACAGGTTCACAACCCAACCTCATTGGGGGTGGCATTCTCGTAGTTTCATCATGACCTAAGGCTATTCGTTGAGATTTTGGGTATACATAGATATAAACAACCATTTTCTTTTAGGGTTTCTTCGGCAAAAAGGAGATTCAAGAGGAGGAGGAGCAGCAGCGACAATGGTTCTCAAGTAGGTTTTCTCCAGAATCAACCTCTCTACTTGTTCGATAATCTTATTGTCTAATTTCATGCACTCAATATCGGTGCGAACACGCGATGTGTGGTTTTGTCATTCTTGTATTTATTAGCAATGGCATCGTTTGGGAATGGCAAATTGTTATAGTGCTGAGTAGTTGATTTAGGCTTGCATAAGCGGGATTTTGTTTTCTGTCAGAGATTATTGTTTTGTTATGTATCTGTTAGAAAGGGGCATTATTGATTGATTAATTTTCAATAGATGGAAGATCTGTGGTGCTGCCATGTTTGTGTTTTTTTTATTGTTTGGCAAAGCCCTAAGATGTTCTAAAATGTTGAAGTGTGTGTTTTTTGGCGATTGTTGGGCTGGTGATAGGATTGGATGTTGGAGGTTATTATTATTATTATTATCATAACCAACATCACGCCATGGAGTATACTGTTTTCTGCCTGAGATTGTTCTGTTGAATAGATGTTTGTATTGCAAATTTGTTATTGCTAGACTAGATGTCAAAAAAAATAGAAGACACACATGGCAGTTGCTTTTGGTGTTATCCTATTGAGGCACTATATAAGTTGAAGTTATAATCTTTTTCACACCTTTTATGTATTTCTACCTTTTATGTATTTCTGCTTGTATTCAAGTTAATTTTGTCAATAAAAAAGTATTTATTTTGTCTGTTTTAAAGGAATTTTATCAAAACTCTGTTTAATTAATCAAAAGTATTCCCTTATGGAACATTGTATTAGAATGAATTAAATGGTTGGTGGTATTTCAAATTATAATCTCTGCACTCAAAAGGTCTGCTCACTGGTTGCTGATATTTGTATGTTAGGACCGAACTTTGCCGTTTCAGTGGTGCAAAGATCTACCCTGGTAAAGGCATAAGATTTGTTCGTGGTGATTCTCAGGTAACATAATTGTGGCATTTTTTGAGTTTTAGGATGGCATGGTACTATTTAATGATGTATTGATGATTGGTTACTTATGTGAGGTTATTGATTGTTAATTGAGTAGGTCTTCCTCTTTGCCAATTCGAAATGCAAGAGGTATTTCCATAACCGATTGAAGCCATCAAAGCTCACATGGACTGCAATGTATAGGAAGCAGCATAAGAAGGTGAATATGTAGATGAAATTATTTGTATGGGAAGTAAGAATAATTTGTAATCATAACCATCTTGTTTAACTTGAAAAAAAAATCAGAATATAATATGATTGGTTATGTTGAAATTATCTCTCTGATTTTTACCTTATGCTAAGTTATCACACATTTAAACAGGATCCTTTGCCACTCTTGTTAATGTCGTGACATAAGATCTCAATGCATATGTGAATGTTATGATTAAATTTTACAAGTCTTTATGTGTGACGTGTAGGATATTGCCCAAGAAGCTGTGAAAAAGAGGCGTAGGGCTACCAAGAAACCTTACTCTAGGTCCATTGTCGGTGCTACACTGGAAGTCATTCAGAAAAAGAGAACAGAAAAGCCAGAAGTTCGAGATGCTGCTAGAGAAGCTGCTCTCCGGTGTGGTTTCTTTTCTTTAGTTTTCTCACATGGCAAAATGCAAGGCTGTCGTTGATTGATTGCTTAACATTATATCTGTTTTTTTTTAATCTCTAAGCTCTTGATTTATGCATACAAATATCGTACAACATCTTCTGAAGTTGATATTTTCTGCAGTGAAATCAAAGAGAGAGTAAAGAAAACAAAGGATGAGAAGAAGGCGAAGAAGGCCGAAGTTCAGGCCAAGCTACAAAAATCTCAAGGCAAAGGCGCTGTTAGCAAGGGTGCTGCACCCAAAGGACCCAAGCTTGGTGGCGGGGGTGGCAAGCGCTGAGTCTAAAGTTTTGTTCCATTTTGGCCTAGGACTCAAATAGAGTTGTTTTGTTGCTGATATTTATTTACTTGATTATTCAAAACTTTTGCTTGGAGCTACTAGTACCTAGTATTGAATGGATTTTGCTGCAGGGCTAATTTTAATTTTTATAAAAATATTGTGTTTTTCAAACCGGTAGATGGAATATCACTCCCTTACATTTTCAACCATTTCCAAGTCATGATACTTCTGATTGATACGGATCTTTCACCAAATTCACAAGGGGCATTTTTTTCTGATCAATTAGGATCATTAAATCCAACGGTTCAGTTTAATTTTGAAAAATTATTAACAGCCATTTTTTCATTTTCATCCTGTAATCCTTCTGCTTTGCTTTGATTCATATCGTTCATTTTTTTTCTTTCTCATGTTATGTCTATCGTACATCTCGACCCACTTTATTTCAAGATGTACGTTGGGTGGTTGGCACGTATGTATTTAAAATACATTTATCTTGAATCTGAATAATGGAACCATTGACTAGTAGGTTGTCATCCCGTTAAAAAGATTGATTACTTCTAAAGTAATTACTTAAACTATATTTATGTTAATCGGTTGATTGTATAATTTCATTTTGCTAAAGTGTTAAAATAGACTTGTAGACAATTTCCTTTTAAAGTTTTTGAAATGGATAAATTTTAATAATTTTTTTATCTGGGTAAATGTTTGTAGATATAAGTGAATATTTTGAAATACAATGTTAAATATAACTATATAACATAAAAGTATATTTTTTTTACTTTTTTTTATTAGAATTGTGCATTAATCGATGATTTTAATTAAAAAAATGTTTTTTTTAAGTTATCTTTTATGCATGATTTTAATTGATTTTCTTTTTCTAAAGTATATTTATTTGATTGATAACTTTAGTTAGAAAATGTTAATATATTATATAAAAAATAAAATTTTATACTTTTTTCTTTACATGGAACAAATGATGACTTTTAATTGATTTTTTTTTTGATATATTTGAAATAGGTTGATCTATTTCATTAGGAATGTGATTTGTATTTGATCTTCTTTGTTATTGTCGATGTAGATTTCGATTAAGACAAAAATTTGGACTTATTAAGAATATTAATAATTTTCGTTCCAAATTGAATAAAATTGCATTTCACAAGTCTTGGAAATACTTTGTAGAATGATATAAAAAAAAAAGTCGAAGAAATTAAAACTCCTCCTAATCACACTACTAGTAATTTAGTTTTATTGTATAATTTATATGTAGGATATTTAATACCTCTTTAGACATCAAATTCACAATTTTTTGAAGTGTAGTTTTGAACAATACACATGCCTACACGTTGTTCATTTTCTCTAAGCAATTCAACAATCACTTTTGGGGTACTATTGTCATGCTTGTAACATTCATTTTGCTTTGATACCTTGTTCAACAAACCATAATTTTGTTCTTTCAAATGTGATTTTTATGATAACACATATGGATAAGGTGCGTGCTTCCTTTAAAATTGAGTTCATGTATTCAGTGAGATTGGTTGTCATGTGCCTATATCTCTTATCTCTACCATACGATTGAGTCCACTATTCTAACAAATTTTCATTTAACAAGAAAATATCTTAATGAAATTCAGAACTCATAATATTCAATTTAGTTTAGGTTAGGTTATTTCATCTCATATGTTATGCAATAAAAAGAATTTATAAGTTAGTAAATATAATTACTTAATAAAATTAAAAATGAAAATATATAGTAGTAACAGGAGAATATATTACTCATACTAATAACTTGATGTTTCAATTTTGCATTCTTGAATTTCTTGTTGAACTTAGAGGAAACATTTCAAATATAGTATACCGATTGAAGACTATATGTATCCCGACCAATATCCTCAACTATTCCAAATGCTAGATAAAAGATGTTTCAATTTCCATTTTGTGCATTAATTGACGATTTTAATTTTTTTTTTAAGTTATCTTTTATGGATGATTTTATTTGAATTTTTTTTACTAAAGTATGTTTATTGATTGATAACTTTAGTTATAAAATGTTGATATATTACATAAAAAAACAAATTTTTCATTTTTATTGTTGACATATATTACATTTAAATAAAAATAAAATAAAATAATATATTTTTAAAATTTAAATTATATTAATGAAATTCGTTTTTATTAAGATATAATAATTTAATATATAAATTATAAAAGAATGAATTTATTTAATCTCAAAATAATAGTTAAAAACATATGGTTCTTTAACTTCATTCTTATTGATATAAAATATTGATTAATTTTTACCATTAGATCTTGAAAAAATTGGTCATTAAAATAATATTCTCATATTTATTTTTAAGATAAGTTAATTTTTTATAAAATTAATTTATAATATATATATATTAATAAAATAATATTATTTTTATTTTAAAATAATTGTTATTCTATAAAACGAGTCAAATGATAAGTCTACCAAATAATTTGATCTAAATCTAAATTCATATAGGTCATGGTCTAAATGAATAAAAACAAAAATAAAATAGATTTGATTTAAATTAGATTAATTTTTTTTTCAATCCTAATCTTGGGACATTTTGAATTGATATATTGAACTTAACATATTTTCACAGCTAGATATATCCAATCCACCAAGTTTAAAAGTAGTTTCAAATCAATTTATCACTTTTTAATTATTTTATTATTTCTTTGATCTTGATATTTAATATATTAGCCCTCTACCTTATTTTAAAAACAGTGTAATATTTCTACTTGTTTCATTATAACCATTAGCAGAAAATAAGTGCATTTCTATAAATCCCATTTCTATTTGCAATCGAACCAAATTGATCACATAAAATCTAGAACTAGTGTTGAAATCTCCAAAAAAAAAAAAAAAACTTTTTCATTTTCACAACAATAATAAACTTTAACATGTGAATCTTTTAGTAACCATCATGACGTAACATGATTTTGCCCATTAACCACATGCGCAACCATGGTGTTATTACCTCAAGTCATTCTAGAGTCGAAAATATCGTGGAATCTCTTATAATTTTAGGTTTTTTTTTTTTTTTTTTTTCTGTCTTAACTTAGTCCAGCTAAAGAGAAAAAAAATAAATGTGTTATTGAAATGTTAAAAAAGAAAACAGTCTCTCTCTCTATATATATATATAAAGTGAGAAAGTTCAAGTAATTGAGACTGACAATAACCAATTGATCTAATTGACCACTTCGAGCTAAGAAGAAAACCGAAAAAAAAAAAAACAAAACAAAAAAAATTCTAACAGAATTCAAACCTTTAACATGATCTTGATCCATTTACTCTCTAGTGTTTATAGTTATTTCCTTGTTTTCATGTACTTGTAAGGTGATTAAATGAAAAAGTATAATAATTTTATTCACATAACATGAGTATTTGTATTTAAATATTAAACTTTTTAATGCAACATTCTATTTTTTTTTTGTTATGTGTAAGTAATTTAGATTATTAGTTTGGAATATAAAAAGGAAGACAATGTGAACATTAACTTATATTAAAGAATTAATTTAGCTTAATAATTATATTGATCATCTTTAGATAATAATAATAATAATATTTTTATAATTATACTTTTTACACTAATTACTTTACATATAAATTTCTATTACATACACTTTCAATTCAATTGATACATTAAAAAAAACAACATAAATATGACAAGAATTCATTAATAACTATTTTAAATATAATTTTATTTTTATTTTTATTTTTATTTTTATATAAAATTAATTAAAGTTATTATAAAATACACTTTTAATTTGATTACATAAAATTTTCTAACTTAGCAATATTTTGTCTCATAAATTTATAACTTACAAATATTTTCCATAAATAACTATATATAGTTTTAATTTTTCTATATCTACATATATTTAAGACCAGGAGATTACTTCGATGAGGTAAAAAAATAAAAATAAAATATTATATATTATTTTGATAATAATATTTATTTTTTATCAATATAAACAAAATGAATAGAGATTAGTACATTTTGAGTACCTTTAAAATTTTTTTTCAAATTTTTTTAGTCTTTATACTTTTAAAATCATTGATGAAATTATTTAGTTTTTAAAAATATGTTATTTTAGTTTTTTTATACCTAAATTTATTTTTTAGTGACTAAATTTTCAAATTATGTATTTTTGATATTTTTTTATATCTAATTTTAACATGTAGTAACTATTTTTTACTGTCACAAAATTGATAAAAAATTTCTATATATATATATATGTGTGTAAATAATTTTATAGAGCAATTATTCAACTATTAAAATAGAATTACTAAAATCACGTTTGATAAAAGATAAAAGAATTAAATAATTATGTAATAAAAAATATAATAATAATAATAATAATAATAATAATATATTATATTGTTTTAGTTAGTCCTAAAAAAATAAATAAGTTTTAAATTTATTTAAATTCTTGTTTAATTTTTTTCCAATATTTTTCTTAAATAAAATTGGTGACAAATCCATTACATTTAAATTGTTACTTTTGTGAATATTTACTCGGACATATTTTTTTTCGTATGATTATCAATTAAATCCATGCATCCCTGCAAAAAGGTCATACGTACGCTAAACTATAAAAAATCATCTATCATCTAAGAACAACGGCGCTGCCACACCTTGTGCTAAAAAGATTTTTTTTTCTTCAATATTCCCAAAGAAGCCCTATGATTCTAACTAAGTAATAAGTATTAAAATATCTCAAAATGATTCACTTAAATCAACTATCAAGTAAAGATTTATTAAAATAATATTATTAAACTGAAGAATTTATATATATATATATATATATTTATTTATTTATTTATTTTGGAAGTCTATAAATTTAACTGATTTAAATCTATTTTATGTGAAAAACAAAACAATGTACTAATTTAATAAAAAAATACAAGTATAATAGTATCAATTTCACATTACTAAAATAAATAAGTTTATACACAGTATAAATTCTTAAAG